GAGAGGAAAAATATATAACCAACACCACTGCCCTCTTTCCATGGCAACCAAAATTATTAGACAACTAGAACGAGCTCCCTTATGAAGAAAGATTGCAATTGTGTTTAAGAGGGAATGAGGTATTTAGAAAAAAATATGTAAGGGAGAAAAGGATGGAGATGCACAGTGTTTCTCATAGTGTGGGGAAAGGACATCAACGTTTTTCTCCCTTTTTCAAACTACTAGGACTGAAGGCATCTCATGAAGCTGAGCTGGAGATTGGAGAGACAATGGAATTCCCTACACAATGTGGATCAATGCCCATAAACCTGGCATTTTTATATGATTTATATGGAGGAAAAGACTATCCATGCCAATAGTCCTAATACTATCTGCAGGATCAGAATATATGAGCACATGTGTTGTTTGAACTGGTGCTGGTTCTGAAAGCAAGAGCAGAAAAGAAAAGGGTCAGATCACCACAGAAGAGAACATAAAGGCCAGCCTGAATGGTATAGAAGTGTCAGAAAAGTTAAAGCTCAGAATAAGCTGAGATTGGGGAAGGCTGTAAAAACAACAAAAAGATTTCTTTAGATATGCTCAGAAGAAAAGGATCAGTATGCCAGCTGTTCACTAAAGATGACAACAAGCTAAAAGGTAACAAAGGAAAAGAGGAGTTATTAATCTCCTCTTTTGGTTCAGACTTCAGTGAGAAGGTATACGTTGTACCAGGAAATTGTGGAGAGCAAGATGAAGAGTCAGCACTGAAGGCTGAGGTTGATAGCAACATGATTAGGAAATGTCTATTTACTTTGAATTAGTTTAAGCCTCCAAGGCAAGATAAATTGCATTCTAGTATATTCAAGTTCCTTTGATTAAACTTTATTGTATTACCTCTAAGAAATCCTGGAGAACTGGTGAAGAGCCTGATGATTGGGGTAGAGCAAATCTCTCTATCTTTAAAAAGTGAAGAAGGAACATCCAGAGCACTGTAGACTAGCCAGGCTGACACCTTTAATGTGAAGATTCTAGAAGAGATCATGAAATGATTGATCTGCAAACATCTTGAATATTGTGAAAATTACCAGAAGTCAGCATAGTTTGTTAGGATCAACTCTTTACAGACTTAGGCTCATCCATATATGTTTGGCCCAGCATGAGGACAGTTCATGCACTGTTTTTCAAGGACAGGAATGTACAGTGTCATACTCAATCCATTCCCAAACCCTTGTGAAGGAAGCCTTCACCCATAGTTTCCTGTTCTGCTGCAAGAGTGGTGTTTTTCCAGTTTTGCCAGCACAAATTGTGCCAAGCAGTCAGTCTGCAGAGAATCATTCCAAGATAAGTTTAGGGGTGAGACCATCTGCACTCCTACTGGCCACCTAAGGTTATGTGGGCACAGCCCTCCTCTGGTCCCTAGCTACTGGTTTTCAGGGCCATTCACCTTTTGGCAACAGGAGAGTAAGGGCTCTCCCACTATACTATCTCCCATTATGCCACACGGCCATTTTCCCACTACTCTTGCCAAGGTATGGATGTCAGAAGCAGGGAGAAATGCTGGTCTTTTGAGTGCCCAGAATCCAGAATGCCCACTGTCACTGATGAAAGGTTGGAGGGGGGTGGACAGGTCCTCTGCTCTCAGTTTCTCCAACCTCTGAGGGATCAGAGAGCTGACAGTAAAGGAGCTATTCTCCACTTTTCTCTCATTTCTCTTGTCACCCATCGGTTAGATGAAATTTAAGCTACTGTTCTCCTGTCACCAAATCTCACAGAACCACTGAATGGCAGAGATGCTGCCTACAGGCATGTTTCCTCAACAGTACAGCTGTCTGCCACTCCCATCACCAGCTTAGATGCTGCAGTAGCTAAGGTGCAGGGGCCTTTTTATGCCCATGACTAGTAGTCAACCAGTACCTCTGGAGATGTTTTACCCAGGCTTCCTTACAGAGCTGTGTGCAGTACTGCCTTGCAGCAGTGACTTGGTTTTGATGGCAGCCCTGAGAGGAAGCCATGGGCAGGTTAAGCACAAAGAAGAGCTGCAGTGAAGCTACCCAGGGCTTCCTCAAGTTCTTTGCAGAGTTGCATTTAGTGCTTCCTCAAGTTCTTTGAGGAAGCTGTGGTCAGTTTCATTACTGAGCCTACAGAAGAGCAGCTGATTGCCCCATGGTGAAGCTGCCCATAGGGGTCTTCTGCCAGCATCCATAGGCAGCTTTGGAAGGCATAGAAAGCAGCTTTTCAGCTACCACTCTAGGTGGGAAAGGGATCTTTTTGGTGCTGGGAGAATTGGTACCAAAAAAGCCCATTTCTTCTATTTCCCTCCCCATACATGGGTGGCAAGAGAAGGGGGGAGAATGGGAATCCATGGAAATCAGTGACCTGACAGCAGCAGATTAGTAGGTCTTCTGCTGCCAGTAACTGGTACCAAAGATTGCATTCCCCATCCTACCTCTCACCTCCCAGTGCTTTGAATATGGACAGAACCCCTACTCTGCTTGTTGCTCAGACAGAGTAGGAGTGGAAGTATAGTCAGCACTTCTTATTGCTGCAAGCTTCTGCACAGGTTAGCAGCACTTCAGAGCTGTGTGTACAAAAGTCCTAACTTTATCTCATTTTTGGTCAGATAACTTGATTAGTAAATTGTGGGAATGCTGGAGATATAAAATATCTTGATTTCAGCATTCATCTGACAACGATCCCATAGCATTATACTTAGCAAGCTAGTTCAATGTGAGATGGATGGCAAGACAAGTTGATATATACAGTGGCTCAGATATACTTAAAGAATGGTTATCTATAGTTTCTTATCAAATTGGAGTGAAATACTGACTGAGGTACTATAAGGCTCTTTTCTGGGCTCAGTACTATTCAACATTTTTATGACTTAAATGAAAAGGTGGTTGGATACTAATCAAATTTGCAGGTAACACAAAACTGAGTGGGTTAGCTAATATCTCAGCAAACAGAAATAAAATTCAGAACGCTTTTGATAGGTTAGAGAAATGGGCTGAAAATAACCAAATTGAATTATGGAATCAAAATTTAGCAGAGTTAAATTAACTAGCTTGATCATGGTACCTGTGAACATAACTTGAAATACTGCAAATTGAATATAAATCAATGGTATGTGGTGATGCAAAAAAAAAGAGAGGCAAATACCATTTCCAAATCATAGGAATATTAGTTTCGCTTTTTATTTTTGCTTTGGTCATGCCCCATTTCAAGTGTTTTGTCCAGTAATGAACACTACATGCTTTAAGAAGATAAAGATAAGGATAAGACATTAGGGATAAATTCATGGCCTCCAGGATAAATGAATGAGCAGCTGAGCTCCTCAAAGACAGGGGACCTAATTCCATTCATTTTGAAAAAAAGTAAAGTTATATATAGTAAGTATAACAACAGACTCTTTGGAAAAGACCCTGATGCTGGGAAAGACT